TAAAGGACTGTCATAAAAACATTCAATACATTTTATTAATATATAAGTTAACTGTATTTGTTAATTGTTATCATTAAATTTGTATTTTCGTTCATGCAGTTCATTTTATTTATTAACTAGAAAATGTAATGTACAAATAAAGTTCAATGTAAGAAGGGGAGTCCAGAGGGGCACAGAAATGTAGTTTCCACCCCTCCCCCAACAACGGCACTATGAGAGGTATAGCTGTGTAGAAATCTTTATGATGTGAGGCTACATTTCAGTCCTAGAGACGGTCCAGGGCCATCAGTCGGAGCTTCAGACATCTTTCACACTCGCAGCAATCTAAGCGGTCAAGTAACAATATACCAAAGTGGGCGGGAGTAAGCAAACTTTGTGAGAAAGCTGCAATATGGGCAAAGAATAAACGTAACTTCGTAAACATTTTCGTGTCAATACTAAACAGGAAACGTACTAACGATTCAACAGTTCTACAACCATTCATCTTACAAAAATGTAAGAAAAATTAGCAGTCAATGTTTTTCACGATGGCGTGAGTGTTACCAATCCCATACATGATGGAGTTCTCGGCTACTTTCACTCTTCTTTCAGGATCTTGCAGATGACTGTTATTAGTGGAAACAACATTGCTGCTAATCTCCCTTCACCTCCCACCTGTCCCCTTTACCCCTCACACCCGTTCCCTTCCCACTCCTTCCTGAATTTCCTGGAAATATGTGATAATTTTTTGATTCTATTATGATACTCGTAAACAGGAGTGCCATGCGTATTATCAGTTTGATTTAGTAGACCTCTTTGAGTGTTAAATATTAATAACTTTGCTTATTATAAGTGAAAAATATACTGTGAATAATGTGAGAGGTTCTTATATAAGGCTAGACATTCCTTCAATAAGTAGATAAGTGAGTAACACTCATACTGATAAAAAACTTATCAAAAGTTAACAAATTTAAAATTCTATTCCAAATTGACAGTATGACTTTCAGTATTTGGGTCTTGTACCTTGCAGATATTGGTCCATATCTGATGAAAATACATTACTCCTGCAGGTTTTTTCATATATAATATTACAATATTCTGATCTAGGTAAAATCTTGCCAAATTCATTGGTTGTGAGTTACTTAAAAGTTGTTCATACGAAAAGAGAGAACAGAGGCAGCATTGTAGCAGATGTAATTGGTGTGGATTTGTTGATCAAGTATTATGTACTTGCCTTCAACCAAGAACCATTTTAAATTGGTATTCCACAATTATATTAGATTTAATTTAGGTGCCAAATTCTTCTGTTCATCAAGATAGTGGTGTACTAGTGTTGTTTTAGAATGACAGTTAATGAAGTGAAAACTTTAATCCAAAACATATGTTCTTCAGATTTCTGCTGCTTTCCTGTTAACCACCTTTTTACTTTCTCGCTATGGAGTAGAGGTGCTATTGCCAAAAAGTAGCGAATTTTCAACAGAAAAAACTTTTTAGAAATCCCTAGTAGTGAATAAGTGTACAAATCCAGTTGCTAAATTTAGAAAGAAGAAAAATCATATCACATGGTTTAGCCAGAATCCATGTTTTGTAGGTTCTTGATAATGAAAAATTGTAAGATGGCAAAACGTCTGTCTATCAATCTGTCCGTCCGTCCATCTGTGAACAACATGTAGCGATTAAACCATTCAGTACATTTTCTCCAAAATTGATATTCCCCAGTCGATCTAGCCAATGTTGCGGCGGCTCCGTGAATTTGAAACCAGAATTTACTTTTTTGGGCGAGAGGGTACTTTACATGAAGCCCATGAGGCTTTTAAAGATTTTCAAAATAAATACTCCATTGTTTTTAACTAAATTTTGGTGTTGGCTTGTGTGAAGGACATTTAAGAGAATGGTGCAGCATTTTTGTTTAAAACTCTGATTTTTCAGAAAAAAAATGCTTTCTACAACTAAAATATTAAAGAAAGAAAATTTTTACCTTTCATGACATCTTTTCTTTAAAGATGTGTTTTGAATAAAGTCGTGTCCAATTTTTCTAAAATATGAGTAATTTTGAGTGAAAATACGGGTGAGAAAGTACGTGCTGTTTTAGCACCACTAGTTTTATCTTGTTTGGGATTTCTGATCATGGTTTCTAATTGATGTGTGATAGATATATACTTACTGACAAGCCACATTATTAATAATCAATTTGTCCAATTTTTGAAAACTATAAAACAAAGACAAACATAATCAAAAACACAAACAAACAAAAACAAAGATAATTGGCACAAGCTTTTAATAAAGATATTTTATTTTGAATCTGACTTCACCAGTTTACCTTACAGTATTGTTACAGGACCTTACAATGTTATCTTATCACTAGAATTTCAAGTACTGAACCACATTGGTTTATACTTTCATCCAGTAGTAAAAATTTTGTGACTAAATAGAAGAAGAAAAAAAAAAAAAAAAAATCCCAAAGTTCTGGGCTCTAGTGCTTTCATATTGAACAATCTTTAATAATGAAAAAAATGGCAAAGTACCCAAGAATTTAGTAATTGGATGCCCTGATTTTAAGAAATTAAAAATTGTTAAGTAATTGAAATGATTCAAGTCAACTGCATGTATTAATAATAAATCAATGCTTTAATTTACATGCATATTCAACCAATTTAAAGGAACTTGCAGTTTGTTTATAAATGAATAAAATATAAATTGATAATTTAATACAATTAAAAATCATCGCTGCACGCCTATTGATTTTACTTATAAATTTATGAAATAAAATTATATATTGCAAATATTTTAGACAAAATAAAAAGTTACATTGTTTTCCTAGAGAGCTTATAGTACATGGAGAATATCTCTATATCTTCCCACCTCTCTTTCTCTATGCATCTTTCTTTATTGCTTGTTTTATAATTTAAATAAGCCATTGTAAGAAACTATGGAACAGTTTGATGTTGTCAGGGAGTGTAGATAATGCAATAAAATCTCATAGACAAAGGAAACAAACATGTATACATTGTTTAGAAAATCTCATTAATTATATGTAATTATGTCTACTATTCCATCATACCATTTTTAATATATTGTGAAAATATTTAACTTTCAATTAAATCATGGTTTCCACATTATGTTGAAGCTGTTGGGAACATTGAATGTCATCCATTTTCTGGTGAAGTATATGGGAAAGATATGGTAATTTTAGTTATGCTAATTTGATGACCACATGAACTATATTACTTTCCTAAGAAAATCGATAACATACATCAATGTTTGTTCATAAAGCAAGTGCTATGATTTCATTAATGTAACAAATAAAGTATTTTAAAGGACTAACCCTGCTTGACAAATTTACTTTTACTGTCTGATATGTAGTATAGAGAAAGTGATATAATGCAACAAAAAAATGTCTGATGAGAATTTCATGGAAATACCTGTTTTAGGAGCCCTGCTTTAGAAAATATGTGTTGTTTTTGTTTTTCCAACGTGCATTACACTAGCCCCTAAACTGTACACATTATTTTCACCTAAATTGATGTTCAACTAATCTAACTGATCTTCCACCCCCTTTTTGACTCCCTCTTACAACTACGTTAATGAAGATTGGGATTTTTTCTTAATAGAATTGTTTTTTAAAATTAGATCTTAAAAAACATCAAGAACAATTTTTTGAAAATTAGTGATTTTCACATAATTTGAAGTAAAATTGTGACATTTTTCAAAAAATACTTGTGTGTGTATGTAAATGTTTTGCCCAAATAGAGCAAAATTTGCGTAATAATAAGCTTAAGTCCAATTTTTATTAAAACATTTTGAATTTCAAAAATTTCATTTCTTCAGATCTTTTTCAAAATTGTCATTAATTCTTTTCATGTACCTTTTCTTCTTTTCTTTCTTTCTTTTTTCTTCAAATATTCAGTTTTTGAATCATTTGAGTTACAGTGACAAAGTTCTAATTTTTTTCCAAACTGCTCAATAAGTAGACCTTCTGTTTTGAACCTAAAGATTTCTTTCTTAATGTAATCATTTTTTTAGTACAAAATCTTTAGCTGATAGCGGATAGCTTTAGTGATAGCTGAATTGGTAATATGATGGAAGGTGCATTACATTACCATTAACATTAGAAAGAATATGCTGTTGCAGCTCTGCTGTTTTTTGCCACGGCCCTTTCGCAATTTTATATTCCTCCGATGTCATTGTTTTATGCTACTACTTGGCGAATGTATTTATCATAAAATGGACTGTAGGATTCATATTAGGAGAGCTATGCAAAATCTATGTCAGTACTTAAAAACAATGGTTTTAACTTAACAATGGAACAAGAAACAGGAGTAGATATCAAAATCTAATCTAGATGTAAAATGTCTCTTTCTCAAGAATGTGTTTAAAAGTTCTCAGTGATTTACATTGTCAATATGCAGTGTGTGCTCACTGGTTGCCACTCATCGTTATAATTTGTGATAAAGAGAGACGAAATTGATGGATTGTGATTGTAATTCAATCTGTGGTAAAATCAATTTATGGATTTGCCATCTTATCTATACATCTTGAAAGGTTATATCAGGTCATTTATATTTTGTCATTTAGATGTTCTTTCAAACAAAAGTAGATTTTCCGAAATATGCTTACATGTCCCCTGCGCTATATATATATACCATATATATATATTAAATATATATATATATATATATATATATATATATATATAGTATATATATATAGATATAATATATAATATATATATATATATATGGTAAAAAAGTATTTATCAGTGATACAAAATATATTTCCTAATGAGTGTTTCTCATGAGGCATAATTAAAACTATTGAGAAAGAGAGCGGGAGAATATTCAAAAAAGTACCTTGTTTGTTACACAGTGTACGGGCATCTTTCAGGATTACTATTCTTTTGAATCTCACTGAATAAAAGTCATTCATATAATAATTCTCAAATTTATATATAAAACTTTTAAACACCTATCTTCTAGATTGTTTTCACTGCATGTGAACATGTGCTCTTACATGCTATTCAGGATTGCATCATCGAATGTTTTCTAAAGAGTGATCTGGGAAGACGCAGTGTCTCGCTTTACACAAGATCAGTAGAATGTTTCTTTTCCAACATCTGTTTTGCTGATTGGCTGACGGTAGAAAATTGTGCATTGCCTCCTGCCCCTACTGCATGCTCTTTTGCCTTTGGTACGTTGGTATTCTTGAACACGGAAGGTAGCCCAATGGCACCATAGGACAGGATGGTCATTTTCTTGGAAAATTAAGTCTTCATACCTCTCCTTTATTTTCAGGGAAGTGTTTGTATCTGTCGGGACTCACACCAGAACCAATGACTGCAGATGATGATTACAAGCTACTTCAAGTTGGTATAGGATTTACCAATATGGTTGCAAGAGCTACGAAGGGTAGTGCAGACCTCACAAGAAAAGAAATCAAAGAAGGTACGATTAATGGTCAATAACAATATGATCCTTGTTTTGTGTTAGAAACATGACTGTGAAATGTGATTTATTGATTTACAGGTAGCCAGATTTTGCTTGAAAAATTGCAGAAGTTCAAACCAAAAATTGCTGTTTTCAATGGAAAGCTGATTTTTGAAGTTTTTTCGGGGAAAAAAGATTTTAGTTTTGGCAGGCAGCCCGACTTTGTGGATGGTACTAACACTGTAAGTATCTATATATTTTGTTTGTTGAATAAGAATTTTTAAAAACAGACTTTTTCTGTACAGTTTTATTTATTCATGTGGGTGATTTGAACATCCAAACTAAACTAGAATCAGAGATAAGTGTTTATTATATGAAAGTGTCATTTAATAATTTATGCTGTAAGAATTAAAGAATATTACTGGATATCGACAAAGATGCTGTGGCATTGTTAACAATCTCATTTAGTAAATAAAGAAAACAAATGATGCAAACATTTTTTTTGAGGATTATGATTTGTCTTTAATGGAAGAAGATATTACCCATCTGTGTTATTATATTTTCTGCTGCCAGACATGTTATTCAGTGCTAATGTATTTACTGATACCTTGTGTGTTATTTCCAGTATATGTGGGTGATGCCATCCTCAAGTGCCCGCTGTGCTCAACTGCCTCGAGCTGCTGATAAGGTTCCATTTTATGCAGCTTTGAAGAAGTTCCGGGATTATTTAAATGGTATGATAACTGATCTGGATGAAACAGAGGTTGTGTTTTCTGATTCCAAATTGAAAAACTATTTTGAACCAGAGTTGAAGGAAGAGCCTAAAGAAGAACACCCTTTTATTACATATGGTAGACTGCCAAACAATGGCGAATTAACTGATCTGAGCAATGCTGTAACCAAGAAGGAAGACCAACCTCCTGCAAAGAAGAAACGAGGTAGACCGAAGAAAATCAAAACGGATAGTGTGGAACCAAAAAAGATTGGTCCTGATACACCGAAGAAGGAACATGACAGCAATTGTGGTGAAATGCCAAAAAAGAAGAGAGGGCGGCCTAAAAAGATAAAATCAGAAGATGTACTTGTCCCCAACACTGGGATAGCTGATCACACAAATTCATCTGCAGGCCTGTCTAATTGCTTTTCTCCTCCTATACAGTCGCCCACTAATTTTACCCAACAAAATTTTTCTTCCTCTTACCCTAACCAGCCACATCCCTATTCTCAGAACCCCTCACAGTCACCATCGGAACCTCACAATTATCATCATTCACCTGTCCCTCAGCCCCAGCACTATAGCCAATCTCCTCAACCCACTTCACAACCTTTCACACACTCAGACTTGTCCTCAGAAATCAGTGCAGCTATTTCCTCTGAACACAACCTTGGTTCTCCTTCTCCCACATCTCCAAGTCTAGGTCCTCCTGACTTTGAACCTCCTAGTAGCATGCCAGAAGATACTGCTGAGGACCATCAGAATACCTCAAGACTAACGAAGGATGAAGTTAATCCAGGGGACAATACTCAAAACCCAAACGAATGCCGTTTCTCAAGCCCAACTCCATCAGGGGATGCTCCTAATTTAACGTATCAAAATTTCAGTAATTTTCAGCCTAATTCAGAACCTCACAATGTAATGGGGTATTCCCATGGAACTACTCCAGACTATAATACAAAACGCAATTTAGCTCAAGATGTTTCCTCCAAAAGCCTCTCAGGATTGGAGTCTCTTGTTGATCAAATCCCGAGTATTGCTGAGGGGGATGCTGCTCATAATGCTGTTGTTGGCAGTAGCAGTGGAGAGGAACAATTCGAATCCAGTCATGCTCCTGCTAGTCAGTTCAGTGATGATGGAGCTTATATGTCTGGGTATTCCAACAGTCAACAGTATAGTGGTTCCAATAGTAATAACTCTAGTAACTACAGTCCACACTTTACAAGTGCAAGTACAAATTATTCAGTCAGTACTTCCAACAGTTATAACCTCCATCACAGTAGTGCGAGTATGAACTTTTCTGTGACCTCCCTGGCCAACAGCAGCACATCAGGCGCTGAAATTGGGGGGCAGGTGAGCAGTTCATTTTCAGTGAGCAGCTTAGCATCCAACTACACATCAATGAATCCAGGCCTGATGGGAGCAGCTCACCCTATGGCAAGCCACATGGTGAGCAGCACCAATAGTATGGGGGGAGGCATGTTCGGAAGTGGGATGAGTGGTGGTATAATGGATAGAGCATGTGGAATGGGCAGCTCTATGGGATCCTTGGGAGCACCTGTTGGTTTGCCCAACCCCATGAGCTCCTCATTACCATATCCATATAGCCAATATTCACATGGGGCGGCATCCTATCCAGGACCTGCAGGTGGCAGTTTCCAGTACACACCTACTCACAACTTGCATGTGCCCAGCCCTAATTACCCATACCCTTCCCCATATTCTGCAAGCTCTTATCCACAGGCCAGTTATCTTCCAAATCATGTGCTCGATCGAATAAAACAGGATCGTATGGATATCGGGTTTGGTGGCTTCTGATAATAATTATTCCATTTTAAACCAGAGAAGGCAAAGATGGAAACAAAATAGGAACAGATACATCAGTTCTATGTGCATTGTGTTTGTATGGTAGTGAATACAAGGTTGATTGATAACATATACAGTGAAGTGTGCTTGTAATCCAGTGTTTGTTGTATTCTAAAATTTATATTTAACTTTATAAGAATCTAATGAATTATATCACATGGTTGCATAGTTTTTTTTTATACAGTCCTGTTAAAGAAGTTTCTATTATCATGTAGTGAACAGATGTGTTAGTGTATTCAACAGCCTGTGTTCTGTTCATATAACTAACACTACTTCTGTTAAACGAAAACTGCACAGGGTAAATGACTAAAAAGAGGCTGAAAACGTGGCTTGTAATATCAACATGTTTTCACAACTTTCAAGGAATTTTCTTAAAATTTGCGCAAACCATTATTGACAGTACTGTGTATTGTGCATCCTTGGAATTGGCTTATGGTTGGCTCTCATTCATATAGTATACAGAATATTTTCCTTGTATTTGAAGTGGTACAATTTTTAAGTCCATATTGTGCTGGGCCTATGTTCTATGTTACTTGTGTGTTGTTGGCTGAGCGAGTGGTGCAGGCTAAGCTAGCCGACTGGCCACTGCCTCATCCACTGGCCTTAATAGCCAGTGTTCTATGTATGTGTGATTGCATTTGTGTGATATATGTATGTACGTATGTACGTATGCGAGTGTGTGTGGTTCAGAGAGTGGATGTATGCATTCACACATGTTCACATTGCATTTCAATATAAAATAAGCAGACTGGACTTGTTGCAAGTCACTGCTTGCAGGCAGGGTAGTGCAATATTTGTAGCTCAACTTTTGGAGTGTTGGACTGCTGGTAACCAAACAATGTGATCTATACAAGATGGTGCATGTGTCAAATGCAATGTGAATGTTTGTGAAACTAGTTTTACATAAACTCAACTTTGCATGTCAAAGATGAGATTTTAATCTTTCTTTAATGTTGCATTATTGTAATAGCTGGATGTACTTTCAGCTGGAGACTTACTTAAACTTTTAAATTGTACAAACTGTACTAGCTGTGACGGAACGTTGCATGGAGTGTGTGGCAGCTGCTCACCCAATGGTGTAGGATCCAGCCAATTGCCAGGCTTTAAAACAGAATCTCTGAAGAAAAAAATTGTTGTCATTTGTTGAGTCAATTGTGTTGATGGATAAACTTCAAAATTCAATCTCTTCTCTGGGAATAAGTGTGTTGTATGTTCAAGCTAATTTAAGATGTTTTAAATGAGATTTTGTATTAGTTAAAAGATGTTTATATTCTTCGCTTGTAATGTATGATTTATAATACTGAACTTGTCAGATGTTCTCTATGATTTCTATATTAGATGATAAAGTGTAGTTTTTCTGATGATATTGTGGGTTGTTACTTCCATGAAGATGTTGTGGATTGTGTACATACGTAAATGTTTTTGGGACATTTGTTTCCTTATATTCTTATGAAAAGTATTTTATTTCATAGAATCATGTACATGATTGGAATTTTTTAAAATTGCATGGATCTTATTACACTCAGGTTCAGACAAGATGATCATGGGGAGTTGTTCCTTGTATGATAAAGCCACCCAGGACATGTATTGATGTACTATTTCATGTCAGTATTGAAGGCAGATCTGTGTCCTTGTCGTTCTCTGCAGCTCGCTCAGCCTGGGTGCCTCGGGCATGGCATCTGCCTGGTGCAAATTGAAATTTTCTTTGATTTTTTTTATTTTATTTTATTTTAATTTCATATCTTGTATCTATGTGCACTGTAGATTTTGTATATTGTATGTAAAGTCATGTTTCTGTTTTCATTGTAGATTGTTTTTTGACTTGTGAGACATTCTTGAAAACTCTATTTTAAACACAAGGCATACATGGCACATGAAATAATACTTGTCATAGTACTACATTGTTAAATATTAAAGTTGTGTTTCACCAGTTTTAATGTTGATATTTATGTTTAGCTAATATGCCTGGTTCTTTAATAATTCTTGTTGTTTACTATAAGACAGTTAGTGGATTGAATTCAGATATATTTATAATATTTAAGATATATTTCATGGCAAGTCTCTACATTGTATTATCATTGGTCAGGCCACTTCTGATTTATTTTTTATTTCTCCTTGACAAGGATTCAGTTTTAAAAGTGTGACGTTATTTCCATTCTTATGTATGAATTGTTGCATCTAAAAGATTCTTCTAAAGTTATTCAGCTATCCTAGTATGCTGCTCATTGTTACACAATAAATGTTTGTACCAAAGAGCAACAAAGGTAAATATGTTTGTAATATGGCCTTCTTTCAAGGTATTGTTCCTTGTCACTTGGCTTGTTTATTCAAAGAAATTTATTAATATTAGTGAAATTTATTTAGACTAATTTTTATTTGGTTGAAAGTTAAGAAGTGCTTGACTTTTTGGCACTACATTGTAGCATGAAAACCTGTCATGAAATAATTATCTACTGGATTGCCAAACTCTTTGAGGAGACATTCAATTTCTAGCATGCAGTGATTTCATTTTGAAGAATCTCATATTGAGATATTTTGTTGATGCATGATCCTCAACATGTAACAGTTTGCCTTATGAACTGGAAGTCACATACAGTGGGAACCGTCCAATTAATTTCTAAGCATATGAATCCTTGTCAGAGGTAAACTTACCTGGGATCTAAGCTGAAGGGTCTGTGGTATATTGATACTGCTCTTGTTCCCAGTGTAAACATGGCGTGTTGTATTGCATTCAACCATTAGTGTTATGGCATTGAACATTGTTTATGTACCCATATCATTGGAAAAAAAATTTTCCGTGACTACTCCTTTTTTCTTTTCTTTAAGGAAATGATACTTTGGCAAGTATATGAATTTCAGCATTTTTGGCTAGTGTGAAACTATGGGAACTAAGACACACTCTGTCTTTGTGAAAGTGTAACAGCTTATTTCCAGTTTCCTATATGTGATTCAGAAAGATGTCTTTCTTTGTAAGTGTAGTGTATACTTCATAATATTTAATCATTTTCATTGCCATTTCATGGATTCAAATTTGACCGTTTTCTGCCATACTCTAAATACATGTTTGATGTCTGTTGCACTGTATAAGCAAAAGGCTGGTTCTCTTTCTGTGTCCATCTGTAGCTTAGAAAGGCATCTTGCTGAGAACTGAATAGGTTGTTCTTGCTAAAATGCCTGTGTGGCTGGAAAGCTAATGAGCTGTTACATGACACTTTCTCCCTCTGTTGTCAGTCATATCTCTTTCTCACTGTACAAAACCTATTTCTGTAATAGATAAGATGTTCTTACCTACCCTTATACATGCATTCTCTACTGCTTGTTATATAATTTATTGGTAGTATGTGTTGTGATAATAGAAATAATATAAATGTGTTCTTATAAAAAAATGTTTAGTTTACATTCATAAACCTTCTTTCGTGTAGCGGTATGTGTTTTTCACCCCACCCCCTGCCACCATTGTATGCATTGACATTCTTAATATTTTGTATTAGTGGCAATGCTACCGTATTGTGAATTCACGCTGTAAATAGTGTGTTTTCAATAATTATTTTACTGATGTACTGTTTTATCGTTCATTCTAAGAAAACCTATAGAAAAGATATTCTAAGCAAATTGTAATATTACTGGCAAATTTCTGGACAGTTTGCCTACTTCTGAATGCCAGAAACTGTCACCATTAAATGGGTGTATATGCATATTGTAATATGCAGACTTATTCAAGAATTAGTCTCATGGAGACAAACTGATCTACCTTTTCCTCTTCCTTTCTTTTCTGTCCTGTTTTTTTGTTTGAATTTTTAATGTATTTTTATTTTATGTTTCATGTACTTGTGCACAAATAACAGCCCTGTGTTCTCAGATTAAATTTATCTTATGTCAAATTCGTTAATTTTAATTATAAAATATACCACATTAATGGTGCCACTCTTTTTCATACATTTGAAATGTTCTGCTTCTCTGAATTTCACACATTTCCGAGTTACGACATATGGGTACCTACTGGATGTTCGGTAATTGATAATAGATAACTCACAATTCAAATTCTTGCAAAACTGGTGCCAGGCAAATGTGTATCTACATGTATCTTCGCTTTGTAAGCAGGCAAGGCATGGCCTAGTGATTATTTTGGAACATTCATAAATAGCATCAATTTACTAGTTTTTCATTGCATTTCAAATATTGATATATGAAATTTGGAGATAAAAAAATTAAGATCAGTATCTTATACTGGTGATTCATAAATTCCTAGTTTTTTGTAAATTCTATAGAAAGATTTGAGAAGAGGCAAAAGAGATCTTCCATTTTTCCATATAATTTGGTGACTATGACTAACACGTTTCTTTATTTTATTATTTTTACATAATATTTTCCAAACATTTTAGGTAACCATTTGCACAATTGTGAGAAATTACTTTAAGTATGAATAGCAAAAAATAATACATTTCACCATCTGGTCACAGTTGGAAGATAAATAATTACGTGGGAATAAGATTCCCTAGTCAAAATTTGTCAACAACCTTTGCAATATCGTTACTTAGCATGATGTAATTGTGATAAATTATATTTTGACTGCCCAAGAAGGAAATGACTGGGAACTGACTGCTCTGGCTGGGCAGTCAGTTGTTTTGAACAGTCTGAACATAATGTATAAAAGAAATTTTTGATTTGATTTGAAAAGAATCAATTGTTATACACATTTTTTTTAAAAATTCCCCATGCAGTCAATTCTTAAACAATCAAAACATGATTTATAAAAAAAATGATCGGTTTTAAATGAAAAGAATTGTTATAGAATGTAGAGCTCCTCTAAAATTCCTTCATTTTTTTTAATACAGCAGTGAAGTTCCTCTGATGCAAGTGCAGATGGACAAGCTGTTTTCAGAAATGAAAGTTGTTGATATGCAAATTGTCTAAATATGAACTTTTCACTTAAAAAATTGGGGGATAAGCATGGTTTCCAATGTTATGAGTCCAGTAATGAAGTAGAAATACCTTGATCTAGATTATTAAACTTTGATATGACCAAGCAATGTACTGAATTCAATTGTGAGTAGTACTTGCAGACCCCAAAAAAATGAGAAACGCATTTAAAAAGCGAGTAAAAATATATTTGGGAAATTTCCAGAGATACATTAGATTCCAGATACAAGATATTACAGAGCGACATTCTAGTTCGCCTCTGGTAGTTCTGAAAAGCCGATCCGGTGGCCGAGATCGCTAAGGCAGTAGTGCCGTAGCGATCTCGTACCGAAAGATCGCGGGTTCGAGTCCCGCCTCGGGCATGGTTGTATTGTGTTCGTCCTTTCACCCCCTATCATCATATCAGGGAAACCACCCTGAATAATTTATCTCAAGAAAACCCGTTATGGGTCACCTAACTTCCGTATATGGAAGATAAGACCAAAGAAGTAGTTCTGAAATCCTGTGAAGTGGCTGAAGTGGATTCTTTCGATTGGCGGAACGCACGCAAGGCAGTGTTATTCAATTAAACAGGTTCCAACAATAGCGCCTCCCCCATTTCTTTTTCAATTGACTTTAAAAACCACCGGCCTAGATTATTGACTGCCGACCGTGATAGCGTACGTACTTGCAAGACCGCAAGTAAAGCTTCGGAAACCGGGAGGTCGAGGTGAGGCGGTGGCAGGCTGTCAGTTCAATGCAGCGATCGAATCGCACTGTAATCTGCTAGAGGCCATCTACTCTGGCCATGTCTCATGGTCTGTCCATCAATTCCAGATGGGTGCCGGAGGAGGACTTCATACAAACGACTACGCGTGATGTCTTCTTTATCCTATCTCCACGCCAAAAAGGACCGAAGGATGAGCCATCCCTATGGCCTGCTACACTTGATCTAGAATATCTCTGAAAGTGTATGAGATCTGGAATGCAGCCGACAAGCTGGGAGACACTGGTGTCTCGAAGTGAAATAATTGTAATAAAGATTATGAAAAAGCTCTAGAAGTAGAGTTTTTTTAGTCGCGTATTGTAGTGTGTGGCCAAGATTTCGCATATGACCGTACCCAGGAAAACCAATTGTATTTTATTTTCCTGATGGCTTTTTATAGTCAAAGCTGACTAGTAGAGTCCAGACAATTGCACGCGCCCTCCGTGCCCGCCGTGCGTGAAAAAGTTCCGGAAGTTTTTTCTCGCCTGTTTTTTATCATTTTGAACCAGGGGCGGAACCGGTCGATCTTTTTGGAGAGGGAGGAGGCTTCGTAGATTTTTGTTAAATAATAATGTTTGATATTATACTGAATATTATTTATGTACCCATTGTTTTGAAGGTGCTGGATTTGAATTACCCATCATCTCGAGACATGTCGGCTTCACAGAGAAAATTGATCCAACAAAATTTAAAAGTGTCGCTCATTTTTCCGTTTTTGGCTTATGTCTCGACTATTATGCGTTTTATCAAAAATACTAGTATTTAAAAATGAAAGTAGACAAAGATTCTTGCAAAATATATATAACGAACGCGAGTGCCTATGTTTGTTCCGCATATCAAGAAAACGCCAGAGGTAGATCAAGTGAGCGGGTGCAGCGTTGTTTGAAAAGGGCGCGCCCGCAGCCTGCAATACTGTTGCGCGTGATGTCCGCAGCACGGTGCGGATATGAGAGGGGAGCAGACGCGCACTACCCATACACGGAGGGCGCGTGCATAAATTGGCGAACCCACGGTCAATCATCCTCTTTAATTCCCGTTCGCCAAGCCAGCAGCACTCGCATTAGTTCTTGACCGCTGCAGCAACAACTTCGCCGGGTTACGAGGTAGGAGGGTCGTACAGACGCCTAGATAGCTGTCCGCGAACTTTGTAGAAGTTTTCTGGAAGAAAATATTTCGTCAGACAAAGACGCGGGAGTGATTCTACCCGTTGTTGTGAAGCTGAGGCCAAGTACAATAGGAAAGTAGTTCATGCTAAGGTCAAGTAAATTTCAATCAGCGGCGAAATTTGGGACAGTGCGAGCGAGAGACACGTGCGCACGAAACACGCACGAGTTCTCCAGTGGGTTGCGAGGAACATTCGCACGCGGGCGTAAATAAAAACGTCGAAGGGGACGAAGCAGACGACGGAAGGCGCCGGACGTAGAAGCTGACGAAGAGGAAAGGCGCCGGGAGGACAAGACCGGAAGACGACGCGAGAGAGCAGCGGTGACCCGGGGCCCACGATCGGCAGCGCAGAGGACGGAGGCGAACTCCGTCCACGCAGAGGCCGGAGCGC